CCGTCAGGTTATCATGGTCACTAACCTGTTTTTCTGCTCTCCAGAGTTGCTCCTGCAGATCAGCAGCCCGTTTATTTAGTAAAGCTTGTTGATTAATCTCACTCTCTGTCTTGCCTTGTCATGACATTAATCTATTTATCCATCCATCCATCACAGACAATTTAGAGACGACGATTATTTTGAGAAGCCAATTAACCTAACAGTCATGTTTTTGGACTGTGAGAGGAAGCCTGAGTACCTCTAAGGACACAGATGGGAAATGTGGAGTCAACAAGTCATCTCCATGTCATGTATTTAATCTACCCAGCCAATTAACCAGGTGAGTCCAATCTGCACAGATTAATTCCCGGTGAAGATTGGACTTATCTGCTTCAGTGGCTGGGTAGAACAAATACATGACATGGAGATGACTTGTTGACTCCACATTTCCCATCTCTGCTTAAAGAACCCACGCATACACGGGGAGAACATGCAAACTCCATGTAGAAAGACACTGGGGGCCAAACCTGAAAATATAGAAGTTCATTTTTCTGTTGGTTTACTTTATTTTCGTGTTATAGATTGAACATAACGTGTTTTTGGCACCTCTCATTTTTCAGCAACCCCTCAGTGCACATTGGCCCCTGTCTGACCACCCTTAGGAAAACTTTTCTGGAACCGACAGTAGCTCTGTCCCTTCTTCTAGACACCTTCACAGTTGCATCTCATTAATCTCCCTTGTTTTGTTGACATTCAGGATCAGGTGATTGTTTCCATACCATGAAACAAAGTGGTTCCTGTACTCAGCTTCTCATCCATCTCTAAAGAAACCAAACATCTGCAAAGTCATTCAAGTATTTCTGCAGGACTCTGCACTGGAAGAGTTTACCAATTAACATAAGACCAACGGATGTCAGTAATGGCTACTAGAAAAATCTCACTAAATTTAGTCTTAGAGAGCAATCAGAGTAAAGAAGGTCCTAACTTTTTTATTAGTAAAAATACAAAATAAAAATAATAATAATAAAAAATATTTTATTGTTTGATCTCAAATTTTTATTAAATCAGTTTTCCAGATATAAATAAAAAAGATTAACGATCATAACGATATTTTATTTTACAGTCAGAGTCACTAAAAGCATTAGTGTTGGATAGGATCCAAAAAATTCTTACAATATAGAATAAAAACTGATGCTCAGATCTTTGGTCTTTGCCTTAAATTTTTTGGTTTGTTTGGGATTTAAGCCACATTACAAATGGGCACCATGAGGGAAAAACAGAATAATATAACACAGCAGCTGGGTGAGTAATGGATCTGTCAGTATCTATGGTGATGGCTTACTTTTCCAGTGATGAATAATGACCGGTGTAAGAAAATACCCTGATAGCTTTATTTCTATCACCAAACAGCAGAGTTAACCTGTTGGCTTCCAAAACACATGAACCACAACAACAATTTGACTTCATTATTTTTATCTCGACAAATAATTTTAGCTAAACACCATGATTACCAGGCCTATCTTTCTGAGATTAAAATAAATTTTCTTGTGTTTTAAATTGAGTCCACTGTTGTGATTTTATGTTCAATTCTATTCCCAACCAGCTGGGAATTTATGTTTCTGATACTTTAAGATGTTTATTGCCCTCCCCTGTAGGGGTTGTAAAATATCTCATTTAATCAGATATTATTTCAGCTGTTATATATTGTTTATTAACACCCAGCCCTACTAACTGTGTGTTAGAACAATAGATGAAAGAGTGATTTGAGCACTAATCATGGTCAAACAGTTAATTCTGCCATACATGGAATAAATTCATCACAACTTCTGTTCAAAATATGAGTTTATTAACAAATATCATTCAGCTCCAAGTCACACATATTTCAGTTTAAAACTCTTAACTAAGACTAGTGAAACTAAACTAAACTAAACTACTATGTACAAAGAGGAAGGGGAAAACGGTTGAAAAACATATTACAGTTTAAGATGGATTCTGTGTTTGAAACCAAAGTTTATCTGGAATAATTTGGGATATGATCAAATTAGCTTTTCACTAATTTAGAGAAATTGGAATGTTTTCAGACCAATTCACAATGCAAATCCATGAGGTGAATAAAAGATTATTTGGCCAAATAATGTTTTATTGAATGATTTGCTTAATCAAGAACCAATAACCTTTAATTAAATGATTCTTTACCCTCTTTGAAATAGCTAGCAGTGAATAGACATCAGGCTTCCACTAAATGACTCTTGGTCATACTTGGTAATGGAAATGTAATGAGCATCTGAGGAACACATGAACACTAATGTTATATCAGTGTTTAAGCCCTTTGTGAAATAAAGCTTCTTCAAGCTTCAACAACTCATCAGTAAACACATGAAATGATCATTGTCATCAAAAGACATATTGTTTGTTCAAACCTGCAAACCTTTTTGTCCATGTCAAATTGGAAGGCCTGAGTTTCATCCATCTGCAGCTCAGCATTCAGGCCAAAAACAACCAGCGGTTTCTTTCAGTGGCTCACACAGCAGGGGTCCTTCTTATCCATTGTGGCTCTATAAGCTCTGAAACTCAAGAGACATGTGTTGCAAAATGTCTGTTTTGCAGCAGTTTGGTTCTGAAAGACTCTGACTTATCCTTGATGGTTCTGGAGATCTGGTTCCCCTGGGCCTTGGATCTCCATCTTGCCGGAGATCTTGCCAAAGCGGACCCCAGCTTCATGGGAAAGAGAGCAGGAAAAGAGAAAGAGATCTGGTCTGATCTGTGGTTTTCTCTGTCCTCACAGAGAGGGGGCTGGCAAGTCACACCTCTGTGGGCGGTCCTGTGTAGGAGTTGGCTTAAAAGGGGGGGGGGGGGGGGGGGGCACTCATAAACACTATTGATCGATTTATTTTACTAATCTTAGGAAATAACAGTATGGAGAGGCACATTCCTGGATTTTACACTTTATTTGTGTTGTTTAAATCTTAATAAATATGTTAAAATGTATGAAAGCATTGCTGTCTCAGTTTCCTATTTTAATTTTGATTATATGTATTTTCTTTTTTTCTCAAGCTGAAAATGGTCCCTGATTGGATTTCAGATATCTGGTCACCTTATCCTATTTGTCCATTTAGGTATCCCGCTAACTGCCAATCAGCAGCGGCCGACCAGGTTGAGAAGAATTTTAACAACACTTTATATGCACAATTCAGACAATAGAATCAATAACTGATGTAAAACAAGTGTCAGCTAAAAATCATCTGATACAGAACATAACATTTTTTTAAACCCCCCCAAATGACTATATATATATATATATATATATATATATATATATATATATATATATATATATATATATATATATATATATATATATATATATATATATATATATATATATATATATATATTCATATATAGAAGAAGAAGAGTAAAGTTTGTTTTTAACCTCAGCTGTGCTGTTCGTTAGCCAGAAGGGGGCGTCTTATCGGAACGTGGTTTAACAGTGGAATCGTAGAAGAAGAAAGGTTTCCGTCCCCTGGTCGGTCGGATGTGGATGGTCGTTTGGTGCATGGCGCGTGTTTTGAAGCTGCTTATGGAGAAATGTCTTGGGCCGTGAGTAGTGAGGAAACAGGAAGCGATTCTTGTGGGATGGAAGAGGGAAATAGTGACAATGAAGGGTGGAAGATAGCAACATCAAAAAATGAGAAAAAGCGGAAAAAACAGAGATCAGTTCAAGGGGAATCTAGTTCAGAACAATCCAGTGATGATCATTCCATACATTCCACAGCACAACAAAATGAATTCAAAGTCATATTCAAAGTCGTTAATCAGGCAGACTCTTTTACAAATTGGAATCCGGTTCACTTAACAAAAACCATCAATAAACTTGTCGGAGAAGTCAGAGGTGCCAGAATTCTGTACAGTGGAGACCTGCTAATTAACTGCAGAGACAGCGCCCAGCAAGGCAAAGCAATACGGATCAACAAAATTGACGGGATAAGAGTTCAGTGCAGCCTAATGGAGAACAAAAAGATCAGCAGGGGAGTCATTGGAGGAGTTCCTCTAAAAATTTCTGAAAAAGAGATTCTGGAAAACATAAGCGGTGCAAAAGTAAAAGAAGTAAAACGGTTAAAAACAACAAGAAACGGAGAAAGATCTGACAGTTTATCAGTGCTAATTAAATTTGAGGAAGAGCAATTACCAAGCAAAGTATTCATCGGTTACATAAGCTATAATGTCAAAATCTACAATCCTCCACCATTGAGATGTTTCAAATGCCAAAAATTCGGTCACATTGCAGCAGTTTGTAAAGGGAAACAGAGGTGTGGAAGGTGTGCAGGAGAACACGAATATGGTAAATGTGGAAAAGAAGCTATAATAAAATGCTGTAATTGTGGTGGAGAACATACTGCTGCTTATCGCGGCTGTGAAGCAAGCAAAAGGTCTGAGGAAATTAAAAAAATGAAATTTGAGCTCGGAATAACCTACGCTGAAGCTGCAAAAAGGATCCCATCTCAGTCAGAAAAACCCAAACCTACAGTTCAACACACGGCAAATTCCAAACCTCTAGAGAATCAAAAAATTGATGAAGACTCACTTATTGTTAAAAAGACAAATTTTGTTCTTTTCATGGTAGAAGTAATTAATTGTACTGCACAGACAACAAAAAAAACGGAAAAAATCAAAATAATAGTGAAGGCTGCAGAAAAATATCTGGATATTAAAGATTTGAACTGGGAGATGGTTGGAAGTATGATGGGAGGACCGATGGGACCATCAGAAACTGGCAGAGTTAAGATGACCTAGAGTAAATTAAAAATTATATGGGCAAATGTGATTTAGTATTATGTTGGTTTAAGTTACACAGGTTTTTTTTTTTTTTTTTTTTTTTTTTTTTTTTTTTGGGGGGGGGGGGGGGGGTGAATCGTTTTCTGTTTTCTTGCTTTACTCCATATCAGTTGGTGGCGGTAATGCACAATTCACAAGTCTGCCAACCGCCATAAAACCCCATAAGAAGAAGAAGAAGAAGAAAGGTTTCCCACCGGTGTTATTTGGCTGCTGCACATGGCTGAAGGCGCCTCGTGAGGGTCTGTCTCCAAGCAGGTGAAACGTTTGACTGAGGGTTAGAAAGACACAGAGGTCCAGCGGTCCGCTGGTCCCACAGCTGCCGGTCCGGCTCTCTGCTTGACCCGGGCTAACTGTGCGGCTCTGCTCTGCTAGCGGCGCGGCAGCTAACAGGTTAGAGCTACTCTGAGCTTAGAGTCACAACAAAACAAATGGAAAGAAAATGCAGAGTGAATATCGACACTGTTTGTCTTCTCAGACAACTAAATATTTGGCAGTTATTCGCCTTCCTTCCTGCTGCTGACAGGAACCGATTTAAATGGCTTCAAGAAGCCAAGCCTTGATAAACTGTGATTATTTCAGTTTAAAAGTTTTTTATATCCTTGACAGCCATAGAAATGAGACCCAGGAAATAACAGACTGTTTTTCTTCTTTTGTAAAAATCCACATAAATGTTTAAACTGACCAAAGTCTGTGTAGAACATGGTTTACAACAGGATGATGACTTTTTAAATGAATGAATTTAGCCTATTATTGACTAAAATTATGTTTATTCTTTTTAAATTTTGAATAAGGACACAAACACAAACCACTTTAGAAAAAACGCTATTACTGTCAATGGGACTTAATTCATTAAGCCTAAGGAAGTGTTCACAATCAGTAATGATGAGTATGAAATAAGAACACTATTTATGTTTATAAAAATTTGACTATTTTGTTCTGCGCTGAAGATTTTTGATAAACTATCTGCTGTTCTGAATGAAAACTATGGAGTCAGAAAGGGGTCAAAAACTAAAAAAAATAGAAGTTGATATTCAATGTCATATTTTCCCTTAATGTAGTGCTTCTCAATTATTTTCTGTTACGCCCCCCCTAGCAAGAAGAAAACTATTCGCGCCCCCCACGCCCCACCGTGACTATCCATCTCTGCATAACATTTTATCCTTATTAACATTAAAGAAAAGAAAAATAGAAAGACATATGGTCAAACTTACAAAGAATAACTTTATTAAATCGTGTTTTAAGTCTGTTTTAAGACATGTTTTAAACATGTTTAAACTGTAAACATGTTTGACAAACTAATTGCACCATTGCAAAATTAAATCAAATCAATAAATAATATTTAATAATTATAATAACTAATAAACTACAAAAACTAAAAAAATAACTAATTTTTATTTAGTTCAGCAACATTAACTCAGGAGCACAATATATAAAACACTTGAACCTACAAACCAAAAATGAATTAAACAATTTGTGCTCATTTTTTCTTTCTTTTTTTGATCAAAATGAGGAGGAAGTCAGGTTCAATGGCTACAATGAGCACGTTTTGCAGTGCACAGCTTTTCGAAGCGAGGTTCGAAGCATGATAGTGCAACTCTCAGCTCCTGCTCAATGTTTAGCTGGGACCTGTACTTGGTCTTCAGTGCAGCAACAGCAGAGAAGCCAATCTCACAAAGGTAAGATGTTGCAAAAGGAAGCAGAATGCTTATAGCTTTCTCTCCTAAGAGTGGATACTGCCTCTGTACACTCAGCCAGAATGCACTGAGTGTCTGTGATGTGAACCTCAGTCTCAGTGTGGAGTCAGACGTCATGTCAATGAACTGCTCCTCTTCTGCAGAGCTGAACCTAGGTGGAGCAGGAGCACTGAAAGGGTCTCTCACCCAGTCATACTGGGAACTGTTTTCAGGGAAGTACTTTTTAAAGAATCGAATAAGTGAAGAAATATGCTGCTTAATGTGTGGAATCACTGAGATAGCATCATAGTCATTAGTGTCCACAAATTCATGCAGGTTCTCAAATGAATCTGTGTTTCCTTCATCAAGTTGCCTGCCCCACATTGCAAGCTTAAGTTTAAAGACATTTTGACACCTTTCTGACTCCATAGAAAACCCAAAAGATCTCAAATGCTGAACAACCTGCTGGAAAACAGACAAGTGTTTTCTACCTATTTAATGTTATGCATGTGACTCTTAAGCTTGTATTCAATTTTGATTATACTTCCAGTGACTTTAAAAACTGGCTCTTTAGACTCTCTTCAATCGCTATTAATAGTGGCCAAATAATGACATAATGATTCACTGTAAGAATAAATACCAGTCTTAGAACCTTTATTTTTCTTTCCCCAAAATATATTTATTCAAACTTTAGCAATTTAAACAAACATCTTGAACAATATACAGAATATAATCACAGCATAGTTACGTTACTGTTAAAGTCAAAATAAAACACAGAAAACAAATTTCCTCACATAACATTTATTCCAATGCGACTGATCACATTTCATGCTTGGCTTCTTATAATGAGAATTAAATTTGACAGTATTTGTTCTCCAATAAATTGTCTTTGGGAACTGCGGTTCACTTGTTCTTCTGTCACTTGCACCTTTTTTTGAGTTATTCAGAGTCTTAACATAATCAATGAAGGAGTTCCAAATAGATTCAAACAGATCCTGTTTGTCCTTTAAATATAAACATGTTTTTTTTCCAGAGGGAGGACAGATAACATCTGCTGCAGCCATTGGTTTATGCTCGGTCTGTGAGTCCGGTTTTTAACACTTTTAGCCAATTTTCTGTAGTGTCCAGGATTAAATCGAATGATCGACACCAAAATTTTGACAATTGGTCCTGTCTCTGCTTTTTGGCTCATGCAGAATCCCCCCCTGGCTGCTTCAGAATGGCTTTCATAGTGCATGTCCGATAATGTCCTTAAAACAACCTTAAACGTTCTTTTTTTAAAATATGCTACTCACCGGGTCGTCAGCGCTGTTCAATGACGTTCCAAAAAAAGTTTCGTAAAGAAAAAACGTTCCTGTAGTGTTTTATTTAGCATTTTGTAAATCCCATTGAGTTCTGTTGGAATAGTCAATATCCCTCCGCCACCGGAAACGGAAACGGGGCCTGTTTACGCTTAGTTGTAGTCTTTTCGCAAGGCCCAAGTGTTTCTGCTTCACTCTGTGTACTCCGACGTCGAGGTGCTAACGTCTCTGTTAAACACTTTAAAAAACTCTGAAAATGGAATACGAAAGGTGGATTCTTGAGGAGGACATATTGGACTTTGAGTTTGACGGTAGAGGATACCGTCGCCAACTAGTGGTCTGGAGTGTGCAACGCTTCAGATTCGAACGGGAAGCGGAAGTTTATAAGCGGTTGTGATGTATCGGAAAAAATAGTTCTGGGATTTACAAAATGCTAAATAAAACAAGACAGGAACGGTTTTTCTTCACGAAACTTTTTTTGGAACGTCATTGAACAGCGCTGACGACCCGGTGAGTAGCATATTTAAAAAAAAAGAACCTTTAAGGTTGTTTTAAGGACATTATCGGACATGCACTATGGAAGCCATTCTGAAGCAGCCAGGGGGGGATTCTGCATGAGCCAAATAGCAGAGACAGGACCAATCGTCAAAATTTTGGTGTCGATCATTCGATTTCATCCTGGACACTACAGAAAATGGGCTAAAAGCGTTAAAAACCGGAATTATCCTTTAAGGTTTTCATTGTCTTAAGCTAGAAAAGCAAATCAAATGTTTGTTGTTTAAGATGGTAACAGATTTCCTATGACAATTATTAAAAAGGAAGAAAATAGGTCAAATTATATATATTATATATATTAAAAAGTCTTATATTGCGGCAGAAAAAATAAAGACAGATTGCATCCAACCACTTGTCCTTAATCTTTATCTGTTTCACTAAACTCATAAGCAAAGTTCGATTTCATTCACCGGTTTTAACGTTTAACTGATTTGCATTTACCATTTTGATCACAGTTTAAATCCAACTAATTCTATCAGTGTACGGGTTTCTTTTATATATAAAGATCTGTAGGACTGAGCAGTTAGATGGGTGTTTAGTCATCAGTAGGGAAACTCTCGCAGGTATTTAAATGTGAATCTGTTCTCCGTTGAAGGCAGCAGTGATGGCCAAGCTTCAGGGCTTCGAGTTTTGGAGGAAGACCTTGAAGGAGGCGCGTTTTGTAGTGGCGCCGATGGTGGATCAGAGCGAGCTGGCCTGGCGTCTGCTGAGCAGGAGACACGGCGCTCAGCTCTGCTACACGCCTATGCTGCACGCTCAGGTATTCGTCCGGGACGCCAACTACAGGAGAGAAAACCTTTACAATGAGGTCTGTGCTGAGGACAGACCTCTCATTACTCAGGTGAGAATTCAGACGCACAGGGTTATGAGTAGAAACTGAATCCGTGCCACTAGGCCATTTCATGCTTTAAACGGTCTTGTTGTGCGTGTTGTCTGAAAACTCACGTGGCGCCGTGCCTTAAAGACTTAACGCACCAGGCGGTTGAAATGGGCTGATGCCCCTTAATACGGCCGCTATAGATGGAATGTAAAATGGACGCCACTGATGCTCAGAACGCAACGTAAGGCTCTGACAAGTCGCAGTCAGTCAAAAATAAAATGAGCTTCAGTGTCTGATGGATATCAGAAATATCAAAGACAGCATTTAAAGAGACTAAACCCTTCAACCAGGGTCAGAAGTTTCTGCTTGATTAGCAGCTGAACTGGATGGCAATCCCAGCCCCTAGGATTTTTCCTGGAAAGTTTTGTTTCTTTTGGTGAATATTTTGCCATCAGCAGGCCCAGATCCAGTAATAACCAAGAGGTGGGGTTCAATATTTAAACCAGGGGGTCGAAGAAATGAAATGGAAACAGGGATTAAAGTATTCAAGTCCCAGGCTGGATTTCTAGATCGTAGTGATTGCCTGTGGGTAAAAAAAAAAAAATCACTTAAAAAATAAATTGCCGGTAATTAAATATAAAAAAAGACAATTGCGATCCCTCTTGCGTTTATCAGCCAATAGTAGCAAAGGAGTGCTCTGAAACGAACAGTATTAGCCAATCAGAATTAGAAGGGGGCGGGTCTTAGGAAAGCACGTACTTCTTCCTGTCGTTTTCTTGCTCAAGTCACCAGATAGATTGTGGTTCAGTGCAACACCAAAGTTCTACACTGTAGAAAGAAAGCCAGCTGCTGGAATCTGAGTTTAGAAAAAAGTGTTTTCCAACCATTTAAAGACTAAATTATCACTTCTGACAAGAATGAGCTGAACTACTGAACTGTTTATCGCTGCTGCTCTCTACGTGTAAATGCAGTGTCTCAACATCGTTGTTTCTTTGCAAGTTTTGTGACCGATAGTTATTCATTCATCTAGATTTTTTATTAGTTACACATAATAAATGATAGTCATATGAAAAAGTTCTGGCACCCCTATTAATCCTAATTATTTTTGTTCCGAAATATTAGCAACAGCTATTTCAGTTTGATATATCTAATAACCTATGGACATAGTAATATTTCAGTATTAAACTGAGGTCTATTAGACTAACAGAAAATGTGCAATATGTATTAAAAAAAACCAGCCAGGTGCAAACAATGTGGGTACCTTAATTAATTTTATTAATTTGAATACCATTAACTACTTTGCATTGACTTACTGAAACACAAAATTGGTTACTTCATTAAGATTTGAACTTCATAGCCAGGTGTACCCAATCATGGGAAAATGTATTTAAGGTGGCGAGTTCGAAGACGTTCTCTGTTTGAATCTCCTCTTAAGATTCATCATGGGCGCCTCAAAACAACTCTGAAATGATCCGGATGTTAAACCTTACATTGTAACACATCGTGTCCTATCTTCTCTGCTCTAGTTTTGTGCCAATGACCCCGAGGTGTTCCTCCAGGCTGCCCTCCTGGCCCAGGACTACTGCGACGCCATCGACCTCAACCTGGGATGTCCTCAGATGATAGCCAAGAGAGGTACGTCCACATGGATCTGAGCATAGGAGGATCCTGACCAGAGCAAATCTAACAGGCACTGCTGGTAAACTAACTGACATGGTGGCTTTTAAGGACACTACGGAGTTTTTCTGCAAGATGAATGGGAGCTGTTGAAGAGGATGGGTGAGTCTGTCCTAACATGTTGCAGGAAACTTCAAAAGTGATGTTTGTTTTTCTGGCAAATATTAAAGAAAAAGTCCGGTCAGCATGAAAGATCAATGGATCATTGTTTATACCTAAAACTAATACATTTTAAAGGGATTTAATAATTTTACTGTTAATGAGTAGAAAAATAAAAACTATTTTCATCACAATTACTGAGTCTGGGAGCGGCCATTTTTACCCAAATATAGTAGCCCCTCCCTCCTGCCATCTTCCAGCAGTGATGTCACGGTGCGGTAAGCCTAGCGCCATTCTCTAGCGGAACTACTAGACACATCTGCAATCAACAACAATTATTGAAGATTTCCAGAGGACTTCACCATTGAAATTCACCAGAGCTATAGTGAAACTGACAATGCCCACGTGCATTAGCCTGACGTAGTCCTACTCAATTCTAGTCAGAATATGAGTCTGATACTGCTCCATAGAGCTGTGATTATGGGGCGTGTTTCGAACGAACCAGGAAAAAAATGCCTCTGCACTCAATTGGATAGACCTACAACCAATAAGAGCAACGGAGTGCGTGACGTATGTTAACCGACGCATAGTTGTTGTCAACAAAAATCAAAGCGTGCAGTTTCACGCCTAGAATAAGAAGATGAGCCTTGATCGCGTTTCTCTGTTCCTCTTTAAAAATTAATTTGCTGTCGATATCTTCTAGAACAGACCTAATAGCAGAATCTACTCACCTCAACTCTCCGGCGGCAGCCATTGTTGTTGTCACCCAAGCGCGCTTTGGTCACGTGGTTGATTACGTTACTGTTGATCATCTGTCCATCATCGTATAAAGCCCGCCCTGACAATTTGATTGGATCGCCAGAAGGTGGGCGATCATACTCACGCTACTATGGAGTAGAGCCAGACCGAACTTCCCGACCTCAAACCTTGTGGGCAGGACCAAGTTCGGAATGGCACCCAGGCTACACGTGCATGGCAGTTGGATGTTGGAATACATCGGGTAAAAGCAGTAGTCTAGTTGTGTAAATAAAAAAATAATTAAATAAAGGTGGGGGTGGCTGGATTATTTTTTTAATTTTTTGGAAGCATACACAGGCTAATTCATATATTCTATTAACCTAAAGCACTATGCATGGTATGGCTATTATATGTCTGGTATGCATGTCATTGACCTTGACCAATCCACCTTATAGTAGAACTGCAGTCAGTCCCTGGAGTTAGCATGGCTAGCACTGCCCCTCCAGAGTTAGCATGGCAATCGCTGCCCCTACAGAGTTAGCATGGCTATCGCTGCCCCTTCAGAGTTGGCATGGCAATCGCTGCCCCTTCAGAGTTGGCATGGCAATCGCTGCCCCTTCAGAGTTAGCATGGCAATCGCTGCCCCTTCAGAGTTAGCATGGCTATCGCTGCCCCTACAGAGTTAGCATGGCTATCGCTGCCCCTACAGAGTTAGCATGGCTATCGCTGCCCCTACAGAGTTAGCATGGCTATCGCTGCCCCTACAGAGTTAGCATGGCTATCGCTGCCCCTACAAAGTTAGCATGGCTATCGCTGCCCCTACAGAGTTAGCATGGCTATTGCTGCCCCTACAGAGTTAGCATGGCTATTGCTGCCCCTACAGAGTTAGCATGGCTATCGCTGCCCCTTCAGAGTTAGCATGGCTATCGCTGCCCCTACAGAGTTAGCATGGCTATCGCTGCCCCTACAGAGTTAGCATGGCTATCGCTGCGCCTACAGAGTTAGCATGGCAATCGCTGCCCCTTCAGAGTTAGCATGGCTATCGCTGCCCCTACAGAGTTAGCATGGCTATCGCTGCCCCTACAGAGTTAGCATGGCTATCGCTGCCCCTACAGAGTTAGCATGGCTATCGCTGCCCCTTCAGAATTGGCATGGCTATCGCTGCCCCTTCAGAGTTGGCATGGCTATCGCTGCCCCTTCAGAGTTGGCATGGCTATCGCTGCCCCTTCAGAGTTGGCATGGCTATCGCTGCCCCTACAGAGTTAGCATGGCTATCGCTGCCCCTACAGAGTTAGCATGGCTATCGCTGCCCCTTCAGAGTTGGCATGGCAATCGCTGCCCCTTCAGAGTTGGCATGGCAATCGCTGCCCCTTCAGAGTTAGCATGGCAATCGCTGCCCCTACAGAGTTAGCATGGCTATCGCTGCCCCTACAGAGTTAGCATGGCTATCGCTGCCCCTACAGAGTTAGCATGGCTATCGCTGCCCCTACAGAGTTAGCATGGCTATCGCTGCCCCTACAGAGTTAGCATGGCTATCGCTGCCCCTACAGAGTTAGCATGGCTATCGCTGCCCCTACAGAGTTAGCATGGCTATCGCTGCCCCTACAGAGTTAGCATGGCTATCGCTGCCCCTACAGAGTTAGCATGGCTATCGCTGCCCCTACAGAGTTAGCATGGCTATCGCTGCGCCTACAGAGTTAGCATGGCAATCGCTGCCCCTTCAGAGTTAGCATGGCTATCGCTGCCCCTACAGAGTTAGCATGGCTATCGCTGCCCCTACAGAGTTAGCATGGCTATCGCTGCCCCTACAGAGTTAGCATGGCTATCGCTGCCCCTACAGAGTTGGCATGGCTATCGCTGCCCCTTCAGAGTTGGCATGGCTATCGCTGCCCCTTCAGAGTTGGCATGGCTATCGCTGCCCCTTCAGAGTTGGCATGGCTATCGCTGCCCCTTCAGAGTTGGCATGGCTATCGCTGCCCCTACAGAGTTGGCATGGCTATCGCTGCCCCTTCAGAGTTGGCATGGCAATCGCTGCCCCTTCAGAGTTGGCATGGCAATCGCTGCCCCTTCAGAGTTGGCATGGCAATCGCTGCCCCTTCAGAGTTAGCATGGCAATCGCTGCCCCTACAGAGTTAGCATGGCTATCGCTGCCCCTACAGAGTTAGCATGGCTATCGCTGCCCCTACAGAGTTAGCATGGCTATCGCTGCCCCTACAGAGTTAGCATGGCTATCGCTGCCCCTACAGAGTTAGCATGGCTATCGCTGCCCTACAGAGTTAGCATGGCTATCGCTGCCCCTACAGAGTTAGCATGGCTATCGCTGCCCCTACAGAGTTAGCATGGCTATCGCTGCCCCTACAGAGTTAGCATGGCTATCGCTGCACCTACATAGTTTAATTTCCCACTGGGATCAGCTTCATAATTGTTGTAGGACACTTCCTTGATAGGGCTGGGTAAAAAAATCGATTTTGAATCAATTCCTTTACATTTTTGCAAACTCGATGTCTAGGGAATGAGATTGATTAATTTTATAGTGACGCGCATGGCGTTCACATTTAAATGAGCACTAAAGATGCACTCAAGATGACTTCAAGCCAGACAGCTGCAAATATAGCCAATAGGTTGACTGAACACATTAACAGATGGGGGCTGTAGTTACAGATAGCGCTGCTAATATAGTTTGTGCATTGAAGATAATGCAGCTCATGCACGTCTGCTGTGTCACGTCTACTCGCTCCAGTGAGGCTTCACTTTTTCACTTCTCACACACAAGTTTGCACTTTTGAGACAGTTTTGTTCCCATCTCTTGTTTAAACTGTCTGATTTACAAGTCTGCACTTTGTGTTTAATATGACAGGAAAAAATTAAATACATTCTTTTTTTTTTATTTAAACACAGTTGAACCACTTTTATTATTGTAAAAACAGATCGAATCGAAATTAATCAATTAAGAACTGTATGAATAAAAATTGAATTGATTCAGGACTTTGGTGAAAATATCCAGCCCTATTCTTTGATAAGAAGGTGGAGGATCTTTACCCCCCCCCCCCCCCCCCCCCCCCCCCCCCAACTCAAGTATTGGGTAAAAGTGGGGAAAAAACAAAAAGAGTTATTCCACCTTTCTGATTCCTGATCCTCCACGGACGGGTTGGTCGTTGGATCGCCAACTTGAAGAGGGAGGATTTGCCATCGAACTTCTGCCCAGAGAAAAAACGCGTAATATGTAGCCAACATTTGGAAGAAGAATGTTTTCAAGATGACTTGGATAATAGCGCGTTGTGACAAACACCAGATACAGCACTGGGACTTGATCAACAGCCGATACCGCACCGTGACATCACTAACCAGTAGGTGGCAGTAGTGTTCTTTGACAAACATGGATGCCTCCAGTAAAGCACATTCACATGAAAATTACTCTGAATTAAAAACACTGATCATTTATTGAACAGGACGGAATAATTTCATATTTAAAGCATTTTCAGAGGTTTGAATTCTGAATATGAGCGGACTTTTCCTTTAACTTTCCTCCTGTTCATTTTACTACGTTTTAAACTTCCACACACAGCTGGCTTTCATTGATTGAACCAAACCTTTCATCTGAGTAGCAAACATTAAAAGGATCTACCGTTTCTCCCTGAATTGTCAGTGAGTTTAGCCCATGAGAAGCTCTCTGTGCCGGTCACCTGTAAGATCAGAGTCTTTGAGGAGATTGAGAAAACGGTCCGCTACGCTCAGATGCTCGAGGAAGCCGGATGTCAGGTGGGATCACAGCGCCCACTCAGAGTTTTGATTATCTCTCAGATTTATTTAAAGTGCTTCATGATGTGATGAACGTTCCCAGTTGCTGACCGTTCACGGCCGAACCAAGGACCAGAAAGGAGCCATGACGGGGATCGCTAGCTGGGAGCACATTAAAGCTGTCAGGTTAGAGTCGCTCCTTCTTAGCACCACGTTTCTCTGCTGTTTATATTAAACTGAAATAAGGAATAATGTTCTTCATGTGTTTATTTCTCCAGGAAAGCAGTGAGTATTCCAGTCTTTGCCAACGGTAACATCCAGCATCTGAGTGATGTGGAGCGCTGCATTCAGGAGACCGGAGTTCAGGGGGTGATGAGTGCAGGTTGGTTCTCTGCTGCAACGTCCATCCATCACATCCACACAGAGAGCTGCGAGTTGCTTCTTTTCAAATCTGTCATTCGTAGAGGGGAACCTCCATAACCCGGCGCTGTTCGAGGGCCGCAGCCCCCCTGTGTGGGAGATGGCAGAGGAATACCTGGAGGTGGTAAAGCAGCACCCTCCATGCTCGCTGTCCTTCATACGAGCCCACCTCTTCAAGCTCTGGCATCAAACGTAGGTCCCCGTTCACCTGCTGTACTTTCTCCTCTGGAGCCTTTAATCTGTCCAGATTTGGGTCCTTAAAGACCTTAAAACCTTTTAAAATTCTTCAATTTTAATATTATGGTTTTAAGGTTTCATTTTGAGTCTGGTGCCTATAAATGCTTAATAATGTAATCATAAAAAAAAAAAATCTGAAATTTCAAACTGTCATGTTTACATCACTTTTTTTCACCACAGTGTTTTTTGTTTTTTTTCATCACAAATGTTTTTATCTGCTGCACTTTAAAAAATGAAATAGTCTAGAGAGCTGTACTTAATGAAATTTCTTTTTGTATACAGTCTAAGTCTAGATATTTTGCAACAACTAGAAATCTAAATAATTAAATTCTGTTTATTTCTATAGCACCAATTCACATCATGTCATCTCAGGGAACTTTCCAATTCAACCAGATCATCCAGTCAGATTGATTCAAAGTTTTCTATCTAAGGAAAACCAGCTGATTACATCCACTCATTGACTCTTCAGCAATCCCTCACACTAAGCATGCTTGTAGCGACAGTGGAGAGGAAAAACTCCCTTTGAACAGGAAGAAACCTCCAGCAGAACCAGGCTCAGTGTGAGCGGCCATCTGCTGAGGCCCACTGGGGTTCAAGGAGACAGAAGCAGACATAGAAAAAGAAGCATAGATACAAAAGGCAAACACGGAGCAAAAAATAGCTTGGGTCCATATTTCGACAGTGAAGGACGGAGGAGACGTACGTGGACGGCGATGTGCGGAGGAGTAGCGGTGGATGTGGAACAGTATCATTGATCAATTAAACGACGTGTGAGCGGGGCGGTTGGTGACGGTGGATGTGGAATCGGGGTTAGAGAAATACTTTCACTGATTTATTGCTGGTTAAAACGGTTTTCTGTTCATACGCAGTGATACTAGGGGTGTAAATCACATCCATCATGGCGATTCGATTCAATATCAATTTCCTGACCCAATGATTCGATTATTTTCGATACTCAAGAATACACTTCGATTCGATTAATCGATATTTATTTTTTTTTTTTACACCTTACAGGCTAAACAAAGTTTCAAGTTTGAAATAAATGAATGAAAGCTGTAATATCGTTATGCACTTTTTTTTTTTTTTTTTTTAGAAACAACAGCAAATAAAAAGTAGAAAAGTTGCATCAAAGAATACTGCAAAAATACTGCAGATAATCAGTGCAATGAGCGCAGTGCAAAACCTCAGCTCCAGACGTCCCGCCCCCTCCACAAACGCTCCGCTGCTCCTCTCCCAAATTGTAGCTGACTGCAGACAGGAGGCCAGCTTGTTTTGTTTTTATGACCGATATTCCGAAAAAACAACTCGTGAAGTTTGACCTGCTAGAAGAGTGAGGTGCGCGAGAATGCTGGGACCCTTTTTCCACCTGGATCTCTGCTCTTTTTGGCCCTCATGTCCCTCCGTTGTCGGACTAAACTCACCCCCACTTCCTCGCCGCCTCGGCCGTATCTAGACCCACAGCGTGTAGCACAGACCACGCTTCAATATTGAGCATAAATCAAAAATGTCTGCGTCAAGCTCACTGCAACACACTGCTGCAGGAATATAACCAGGAAGCGAGGTAGGAGGGCAAAATAGGTTTAGCGGCACCGCAGCACGGGAGGAGAATTACACCCAGGAGCAAATGGATAAAAATAGACCGGAGGGAAAAAAACAACACATGAATTGATTCTTTTGCTGACGTGTTGACGCATCGGATCATCGGCTGTTGGATCGTTTCATCGATACGAAACGATTATTATTATTTACACCCCTAAGCGATACATTCTGGGAAATAAAAGGAAACCATCCTCATCTGAAGGTCATGCAGCTGCATTTTGAGTTTCACCAAAAGTGAATCTGTCGGCAGCTTGATTGGCTGAAAATAAAAGGGTTTGGGATTTTCCTCCCCTCTAAGCAGTTAAGGGCCCCTCTTCATCCTCAGATTCCTTTAACACTTTTGTCTTTATTGCTCATCTGTCAGTAACTGATTTAGAAAATAACCTTCTGATTGCATCATCCAGTTGAAAGGAGGTGTAGGAAATAAAGCTCACTACAGACCAAAGCAAATGTTACTGTCTGGAGCTGCTAACATAATCGAGGTGCATCAAACATTTCTGACATGAAACTCCTTTCATTAGAGTTCCTCTTCTGGTTTTTTGACTCCTTTTTATGTGAAACATTTCCATATAAATGTTGAACGATCTTACTTACACTTTTGTGTAGGTGTAAGTAAGCTGTCATTGTCTCACGCTGTTAAACGATGTCTGTTTAGGCTGCAGATCCACCAGGACCTGAGGGAGGAGCTGGCGAAGGTGAAGACCCTGGAGGGTTTAGCCCACATAAGCTCACAGCTGAAGCGCCGCTGCCAGGTACGGCACCATAAAGAAGGAAAGCTCCTAATTTCTGGAGGTTAAAAAGCCTCACATTCATTAGTAAGTCCCGTTAGTCTTGGATCCGTTGTAATGGAATTATAACCGGTCACACGGAAACCATTCCCTTCTACTTCACTGTCAAATTGCAAAAAAATACGATCTAAATAAGTCATTTATTCTTAAAATAAGTGCAGATTTTTTTAATTGAGGAGGTAAGTGAGACACTTTGCCAATAGAACAAGATGATTTACATTTAAAACAAGAAATAAACAATTGTATTGTCTTATTTCAAGTGCATATTATCAAATTATCTTATTTTAAGAGTAAAAAAAAACTAATTCCGTTAAAGGAATAGTACACCCAAAACATGATTAGCCTTCATTTTCTACTCACCCCCATGCTGAACAACACTCTGGAGTACTTTTTTGATATCTCAAATGCATCTGGAGATCTGGGAGGCTTCTTGCTGTCTGCTGACATTCAAATAATGGAGGTCTATGGCGCCCGAGGCAGAAAGGTCAACGAAAGAAAAATGTCTGAGGACTTCAGTGTTGAGGAAGAGCATGAGTTCTTTGCCAAGCTGAATGCGCACTTTCATCTGGTTTGGTCTGCCGGCTTCCGTAGCGTCGTGAGAGCGCATGTGCGCGCTTTCAGGAAATCCTATACACTACTGTTTATGCTCTAAAAACATTCTAAATGACTTCGTTTCGAGTAAATTATGGACGCTACCCACTCAGGACACTTGGAATACATTGGACGAGCAGTATGGAGGAATATTGACACGTTTTTTGTGGACTTTTATGGACCTTTCTGCCTCGGGCGCCATAGACCTCCATTATTTGAATGTCAGCAGACAGCAAGAAGCCTCCCAGATCTCCAGATGCATTTGAGATATCAAAAAAGTACTCCAGGGTGTTGTTCAGCATGGGGGTGAGTAGAAAATGAAGGCTAATCATGTTTTGGGTGTACTATTCCTTTAACAAATCCTCTTATTTACCTCAAATTATAGGTAAATACACATTTGAAATTATTTCCAGATTGTTCTTCAGTGCAGTGCTACTTTCTGCTCATATAAAGTTTATATTATTAATAGAGAGGTTTGTGGTTGTAAAATGAAAACACAGGAGAAAGGTCCATGGGGTGTGACTACTTTAAGCATGCCCAGTCTGATGAAGACCAGAGGAGTCAGGCTCATGGTATAATTCTGAGGAAAATGGCATATTAGCTGTTCTATGAGCCCTAATGCAGCCTGCTTAAAAGCCCTAGAATGAAACGACAGGTGTTCTTTTTATGGTATGCTTATGAATATTTAGATGAGCTGTGCTGATTGGTTGATTTACAAGAAGCGAAGCTGCTGAGCAAAGCGGAGCGACCGAACCCATACTTCCAGCTTGCGGTTGTGATGCTAAATAAGTTTAGCAAATCTTGCTTTGAACTCTCCAAGAAAGCTTTTAAAATCTGTCCTCTGTTAAATACATCCACCTCTCTTCATGTTCTTGGGCAGTGAACCAGTGGGCTGGTCTGGATGTCCATTTGGGAGGGAAAAGTACAGGCCAGAACCAAATACAGGGTTCCCGCGGGTCCTTCAAAAGTCTTAAAAGGCATTGAATTCTTCAAAATAAAACTAAGGCCTTAATTGGTATTAAAATGTCTTAAATCAGTCTTTCGTAGGTCTTAATTTTTAAAACATCATACATAGGATCATTTTTATTACGATTTATTTCTGTAATCTAAATAAAACGTAAAAATTTACAATTTATTATTATTTTTTTAAATAAAATAAAAAAAAAAACTGCTCGCCATTATTGGTTCCGTCCCGATAGCGGAACCAATAAAAGCGTTGTTGCGGCCGGGACATTTGGGAGATGCACCATTAACTTTTTGTCTGTAAAATATGAGCAAGTGTAAATGTAACCAAAATTGTCTCCAGCCAAGAGTTTTCTCCATGGCTAAAACCAGGGAACATACATGAGGCTCAGTGGATTTAGTGCAAGAAGTCATTCAAGCTCAGAACGATGGGAATTAAGGCAGTGGAGTCGCACATGCGAAGCACGAAACACAAAGCGTCAAAATGGAGTTAGAGAGAAACAGCCGGTATTTCTCAGTTTAGTTCCACCCTTGTGTCTGCAACGCCTCCACTTATCACCAAATCAAACATACTAAGAAAACCATACAAAGAAAAATAGCTGCAAAAAAGACTTAGCACTGGTTATGTTGTGGCTTTAAAACTGATTTGTTTTGTTCCCTGCTAAAACAAAGTTTGTGAATTCAGTTAAATAATTGTTAAAATATATCTGTCATTTGTGTGTTTTTAGCTTTCTTCCTGTATGGGAAGCTTTTCAACATTTGAAACATTAGTGCAGTGGTTTATGTTAAAATAAACCTCTGGGTTAAGTTGTTGCAAGAGGGTTTTTCTTGTGTTTCTTGTGAATTTGGTCTTAAATTTTTATTTCAAGTGGCATTAAAAAGTCTTAAAAAGTCTTGAATTTAACTTGCCTTATGCTGTAGGAACCCTGAAATAAGGCAACATCCATACAACGGGCGAATCCAGACGAAGCCCCGAGTTCACGTCACCTCGGTGCTTCGTTTGGTTTTGCTCGTTTTATGGTGAAAGTTTAGAATTGTGAGATTTGCAGAGAAAGGAGGTGTTGATGGGGTTTGAACTTCTCTGTACGTCCATTTCACCCACTGAGCCATCGTTATTCATCTATGACGATGGAAACTAGGTTTGGCATTCTATGACCCCTTTAATCCCTGGCGGGGGTCTGAGCGTCTCCGACAGAGAAATGATATTTAGGCAGGATGGTAATCTGGATGAACTGACAGCATAGATGAAGCTTTCAGGTCAACTTTCTCCCTTAAAAAGATAATAAATGTACTTTTTACTCACTGATCACAGCAAATATAGCCGCCATTGTTCCAGGCAAAGAAAGGATAGGGTAGCTCCACCCAACGCGCATCAGACCCACTTTTCCACTGTGCAGCTAGAGCAGAAAAGATGCTTCAGCTGCTCATCAGAACTAAACTTGTAAAAGCATCAGAAATGAAGCAGCGCGCACGTTTTTGCTGCTCCTGCTGCTTTAGGGGTGAACGTAGCATCAGGCTCAATAAACGGCGGCCTATCAGCCTCAATTCACCATAGGGGGCCACAGCGCACAGATACCTCCCTGAACGGATTCAGGCACAGTTGATGATTTACAGGTAGTTTGATCCTGCTGGCTTCATCGAGATGAGATAGCAAAACACCCCCCCAACCTCCAGTTAAACCAGTAAACATGGATGGAACTGAAGCAGAGATTGAGAGGAGAAGGATGTGCTGAGCTGCAGAGGGAGGATTCCAGACATCTTCTATGGTTCAACTTCTTTCCTCTTCTGTCTGTTTGATGCAGGAGGAGATTTCTGATGGGAAGGAGGGAGAGGGGAGGGAAGGCGGTCTGCCCTTCCCTCACTGGATCTGCCAACCTTACGTCAGACCACCGTGAGGATCAGTAAAGGATTTATTAAAGCAGGATTTACTGGCGGCACATTTCTTATCGTTTATCAAACCGCCAACAGGCCGAAGCCGGCGGTGACCAACGGCAGCTGTCAGGAGTCGGAGGTGAAGAGCACAGTGCGTCAGAAAAGGGCTCTGGAGGACTCGGACAGACCGGCTGAAGGTCTATCCAAAAACAAGCAGAAAAAAAGATCCCGCAACCCCAACAAAAACTTCTCTCCGGAGCTGAAACGTGAGTTCGAAATTCCTTGGCAATGCTGCCTTTAAATCTCAGGAGACGGAACCAGAAATCTAAATAATTTTTTATTTTCTCTCCTTCTAGCCAAATACCTCAAATGTGAGCAGTGTGGAAACCCAAAGGTGAGCCGTGGCTTCAGCGTGTTTGTGCTTCACATCTGCGCTGTCAGCTCCCACAAAGCTCGCTTCTTCTGAAGCTGTGTTCACATTGAATGCAGCCCCAGAAGGAAGTTACTGCAATGTTATCGCTGTAGAGGCGCGTTCAGGAGCAACTGCAGCGATGCAAAGGAAGCATTTAGGATATCTGGAGGTTAGAGCGAGGACACGCAGGGAGAGCAGAGCTGGATTTACTAGAAGCTGAAAATATAAAACGGATCATTTGTTAACTGGAACTGGAGCGTTTGGTCCGCTGTGTTCAACACACAACAGGAACCAGTGATGTTAGGTTCCACGACGAAGAAAGCTTTAACACGGTGTCTAATATTATATAAAGATGTTTTAAGATATAATGACAAAACTGCATATTAACTATCTGCAGTGTAGTTTAGTTATTCAAAACTGAATTCCTTCTATCTGCGACTGCAGTATGTAGGACTGGACAATTAATAGCATTTGCAATATAATTGCAATTTAACAAAACCCAATTTTTAAATCGCAAAGGCGCTCAATTGTAATCACGCTATATTTGACTGGGACTTACAGTCCCTGCAGCAGTGTGTCGCAGCGAGCTTGTTGCATATTAAAGCGTGGCCTGCACTATGTTATTCCACGACGCAAAGCAAGCAAGTTTTTCTAGCTGCTCCATCTTCACCAGTTGTTTTCCACAATGGCGGTCATACAAACAAAACAAGCCGGTAAGGAACCAAACAGGAAATCCGCATGGTGTAGAGCGGATGAAGATTTGACCAATCAGAGGCCTCCTGTCTGCAATCATCTGCAATTTTGGAGACGCACACGCAGACGACCTGGTTTCTGAGTATAAACCAGCCTTAAGACCAGTGTTGGGCACGTTACTTTGAAAAAGTAATTATAGTTACTAGTTACTTCTCCCAAAAAGTAACTTAGTTACTCCACAATAAAAGTAATTAGTTAGTAGTAAAAGTAACTATTGCGTTACTTTTGCGATTGTATGAAATTAATAACTGGGGATGTCTAATTCTGAAATCCTGTGTTTGGGTTGTTATAGATACTGCAACATGTAGCTCCCTCCCTCCCTGCCTCCATCCATCCATCCATCTCTCCCTCCATATAGGCTATCATTTGATCGTTCACGCTCTCCGTAGTTCCCCTGTGGCGCGAGCACAGGGCGACTGTTGCGCGCCTTTAGCGAGCATGCTCGTTTCCTGACGCTTGCGCGGTGAATCTTGCCGCCGCGCTGTGCGGAGATGCAGGGGAAACCGTATCTGATGGGGAAACGCAGCTCGACGTAACACCGGTATTTCCATCAGGAAAATGCTGTTTTGCTGCTGGAGTCCTCCTCACTCTCCATCCTCCCCTCTCTCATTACGCACGCACGAGTCCTATCATGAAAAAAGGTTCATTGTGCGACCTGAGTAACACGCAGTAACGGGGTGTCGGCAATGGTAACTGCGTTATAGTTACAGTAAGAGTAATAATTTTGATTACTTGTTACTAAAAAAGGTAGCGGCGTTGGTAACGCCGTTACTTTCAACGCCGTTAGTCCCATCACTGGTTAAGACGCATCATTTCTCACTCCAGGCCTTTAGTGGGTTTGTCGCCACACAGAAAGGTAGATATTTTTGTGTCTACGGTACAGGTCGATGCACGCTAGTGGAAGTTAGCACTTTTTCACACTAAGGCTGCAGTAACGTCTTTCAACAATGGACTCTGGGAATACAAGCTTTCAAGAACTAAAAGCTGGGAATGAAAAAAAAAGACAAGTTTGGGAAGGAAAATCAAAATAAAATGGCAATTCTTGTTAAAAATAGTCACAATTTAGATTTTTGGCTAAATCGTTCATTCTAGCAGAATGTCGATCTAGATATTTACGATGAGAATTTTGCGGGTTTTGTGGTTTTATCGTTTAAAGGTACACTATGCAACCGGTGTTGATTTTCCAGTGAGGCTCCCTCCAGAGGGCGAAAGTAAAAGTGCACTGTCGTAAATATGCTCAGCTGTTCTCCTGGTTTCTCCGTCAAGCCAGGCGCGGTTGTTTTGAGCTTAGCAGCGAATGACTAACGCTGCGTTCACACTGGATGTAGCTGGCGCGACAGAAGCAGCGAGTTTACATGCAAAGGTCCCGCGGCGCGTTTTGAGCTGCAGGCGCAGCACGTCTGAGCGGCTGCAGCAGCGCGTCGGGTGCGTTTAACGCAGGGAGAGAGACACAGCGCTGATGATCTCTCCTCTTAAACTGTTTATTGACGCCTAAATTAACTTAAAATGCAGAAATCTGCCGGCAGAATATGCAGTTTGGATTATTTAGATGAAAAACACCTACCAGCTGCCGCGGTGAACCGCTGCTGATGAAGGGATCCATACTGTCGGCGCATCCCTGGTATGTGGGGGTCTGAGCGGCTCCGACAGAAAAAATATTGAAGGCAGGATAATAATCTGAATGAACTGACTGCACTGATTACGTTTTCAGGTGTATTTTCTCACTTAAAAACATATTAAAACTACTTTATTCCCACTGATCACAGCAAATATAGCTGCAAGGCAGAGAAAGGATAGTGAAGCTCCGCCCAACGCGCCTCAGACACACTTTTGCACGGCGCAGCCAGAGCAGCAAAGCTGCTTCAGCCGCGCGTCAGAACTAACTGGTACAAGCAGCAAAAAGGAAGCAGCAGATGCGATTTTGCTGCTTTTGCTGCGTGAACGTAGCATAACTGCACAAAGATCGCCACTGTGCTAGCAACGAGAATGCTTTTAACTGGGGGGTGTAGCAGTTCTCGCCGTAAAGCAAGACTGACTCTCACGAGACTTCTGAGCCTGTGGGTGCAGGTCGGTGCTCCTGCAGTTGCAAGTGCAGTATTTCCCCCACAGACCACCAGGGCGGCCGAGAATACCTTTGTTCAACCTGAAATGACTCATTTAATCATCCATAACGTTATGGAACACATTAATTAACTGAAAAATGTTGCATAGTGTCCCTTTAAACTAACTGATTAAATGATAAAACCACTTTAAATACACGGATCATTTGGATCGGGGCTGCAACGAGCGGCAGGCGAACCACGTTGAAAATTCCCAGCGTTCTGGTTTAGTGTGAACGCACCGTTTTAATCACTTTTTTCAATTCTGTTTTGGTTGCTTTTAAAACCTGAGCTTTGTTTTTCCCCCTGAGCTGCCATTAAATGACTGTTCCTGTAACATGATGGTTGCTTTTATCTTCTCCTTACATTACGGAGAATTTCTGAAGGGTTGGTTTTTGCTTTTACTCTGCAGGGGAACAAGTGTGTGTTCAATCTGTGTCGAGGATGCTGTAAGAAGAAGGCCTTTAAAGAGGTGGCAGACTGTCCCAGTGAGTAAACACAAAGATGTCTGCCTTTCTCTTAACAAACGATTCTTTGGATTCATATTTTCAATGGAGTGAATTAAGTAACAAGAATAATTTGGTTTTTATGAACGTAATTTTGCATAAATTTGCATTGTAAGAGTGAATTTGAATTTGCAGTTACATTTACATTAAATTTATGCCTGTTCAAATTTTAAGTACAAATTGTGTTCTAAAAGTTGCTCTTCAACCTCTTGCATTCTCAGGTTTGCTTCAGTTGATCTAAAACGGTATAAAACAAATTCAAATGTGTATCAAAAACCATCACAATATATATATTTTGTTATCCACAGAACAGACTAAACGTTTGGAGACACCTCCTCATTCAAAGAGTTTTCTTTATTTTCATGACTATGAAAATGTAGATTCACACTGAAGGCATCAAAACTATAAATGCCAAGAGTTTGCTAAACAAAAGGAGGCTACTTTGAAGAACCTAGAATATAAGACATATTTTCAGTTGTTTCACACTTGTTAAGTATATAATTCCACATCTTAATTCAGTTTTGATGCCTTTTGATGCTTGCACTTTTATCCACAGCTTTTTTTCCGCCGTCATCGTAGGTCACTCTAAATGCAAAGCGCTCCCATACAGCTGACCTATAAAGTGCTGCTGGCGCGTCTTCCAACTCCTGTTCTTTCCCACTCGCCATACCCACACAATTCTGCACAACAACTGATTTTTTTCTGCTACACCCGGCTACGCTGCTTCGCTTCTTCTTCTTCTTGTTTACTACTGGTGGTTGGCTTTGGTCGCAGTACCGCCACCTTCTGCTCTGGAGTGTAAACGCTTCGCCTATGAGAAAAAGGAGCAGTGCATGAACCGAACGAAACACCGTTCAAAAGTTTGGCGTCACCCAAACAATTTTGTGTTTTCCTGAAAAGTCACACTTATTCACCACCATTCGTTGTGAAATGAATAGAAAATAGAGTCAAGACATTGACAAGGTTAGAAATAATGATTTGTATTTGAAATAAGATCTTTTTTTTTTTCTACATCAAACTTTTCTTTCGTCAAAGAATCCTCCATTTGCAGCAATTCCAGCATGGCAGACCTTTGGCATTCTAGCTGTTAATTTGTTGAGGTAATCTGGAGAAATTCCCCCCCACGCTTCCAGAAGCAGCTCCCACAAGTTGGATTGGTTGGATGGGCACTTCTTGCGTCCCATACGGTCAAGCTGCTCCCACAACACCTCAATGGGGTTCAGATCTGGTGACTGCGCTGGCCACTCCATTACCTATAGAATACCAGCTGCCTGCTTCTGCTCTAAATAGTTCTGCACAATTTGGAGGTGTGTTTAGGGTCATTGTCCTGTTGTAGGATGAAATTGGCTCCAATCAGGCGCTGTCCACTGGGTATGGCATGGCGTTGCAAAATGGAGTGATAGCCTTCCTTATTCAGAATCTGTTTTATCCTGTACAAATCTCCCACCTTACCAGCACCAAAGCAACCCCAGACCATCACATCACCTCCACCATGCTTAACAGATGGCGTCAGGCATTCTTCCAGCATCTTTTCATTTGTTCTGCATCTCACAAACGTTCTTCTTTGTGATCCAAACACCTCAAACTTGGATTCATCCGTCCACAACACTTTTTTCCAGTCTTCCTCTGTCCAATGTCTGTTCTTTTGCCCATCTTAATCTTTTTCTTTTATTGGCCGGTCTCAGATATGGCTTTTTCTTTGTCACTCTGCCCTGAAGCCCAGAATCCTGCAGCCGCCTCTTCACTGTCGATGTTGACACTGGTGTTTTGCAGGTACTATTTAATGAAGATGCCAGTTGGGGACCTGTGAGGCGTCTGTTTCTCAAACTAGAGACTCTAATGTACTTTTCTTCTTGCTCAGTTGTGCAACGCGGCCTCCCACTTCTTTTTCTACTCTGGTTAGAGCCTGTTTGTGCTGTCCTCTGAAGGGAGTAGTACACACCGTTGTAGGAAATCTTCAAGTTCTCTTTTTCTGGCCATTTTAGCTTTTAATTGACCCCACAAATGTGATGCTCCAGAAACTCAATCTGCTCAAAGGAAGGTCATTTTTGTAGCTTCTGTAACGAGCTAAACTGTTTTCAGATGTGTGAACATGATTGCTCAAGGGTTTTCTAATCATCAATTAGCCTTCTGAGCCAATGAGCAAACACATTGTACCATTAGAACACTGGAGTGATAGTTGCTGGAAATGGGCCTCTATACACCTATGTAGATATTGCACCAAAAACCAGACATTTGCAGCTAGAATAGACATTAACCACATTAGCAATGTATAGAGTGTATTTCTTTAAAGTTAAGACTAGTTTAAAGTTATCTTCATTGAAAAGTACAGTGATTTTCTGTAGTGTATGTATATATATATAGATAGATAGATAGATAGATAGATAGATATATATAGATGGATAGTTTTGGAATTCTGGTTGAATGATTTAGACACGATGCTGTAATCTGTCTGTATCTTGCTAATAGGGTCACTGAGCGTAAATATTTACTGGAACCTCCAAAGCAAATATAGTTTGCTTTGGAGGTTTGCTTTCTAGACAGAGAACGTGTGTAGAAAGATCGTCCTCCTGGAAAATCTGCTGTAAGTCCCTGTTCTCTGATTTACAGGTCATGGGCTGAGGTTCAAAACCAAAGCGGAGAAACTGAGAGCAGAAGAAGACAAGCAGGAGGAGCAGGTGCAGACGGAGGGCTCCATGATGGAGGCTGGGAAAAGGTCCTGTACCAACGGGAAGGAGCAGACCACGGCTTAGCTGCTGCTCACGCCAGGATGAAAACCGTCTGTGGAAGCAGAGGGAGGTCCAGCTGTCCCAGCAGGGTCTGCTGGTCATATCAGCCTTTCTGCCTGGGGAACATTTTCAGGGACATCACATCTCCTTCCAGCCCTGCGCTCCTTTGAACTTCTAGGGAGGAAAGAGGCAGTTAAAGCTGCTGGGATCACATTTGGGTTTACAAGATGTTTTATGCAATTAAAGATAGGTGGTTAAAACTGTGTTCATAAAACTAGTTTCTCATCTTCATCATGTTTGTCTGATTCTAAGACGATTCAGAACCAAACTCTTCATCAAGGCATAAATAAACTGCCTTTACTTTAGTTTCATCTGCTGTGAATCTGAACTGTTAAGAAAATCAACTTTTATATAAAATATAAAATGCTTTTATAAAATGCTTTTATATAAAATGCTTTTTTGGATTTATTTATTTTGAGTTGTGATTTATTTTATTTTTGTCCCTTGAGGCAAGGTCCCTTGGGGTCCCTTGTTCAGACGTGCACCGCAGCCCCTAAAGGGTGAAAATAAAGTCATAGAAGCAGCTTCATTTGAAATCTGAGATGTCATTTTTAAAACTTAGGAAGTTAGCAGCCAAGTCCAGGAAACACACAGACGAGCTCCGAGCCAGCTCCCATGTCAGAGGATGAAGAGAGCACATCCAGTTAGTCACAGTCAGAGAAACAGGACTACACTGGAAAACAGGCCAAGCTCCAGCATCTAGAAACAAAGGTGTTGATGGCAGCAGCACAGCTGATATTTCTCTCCAGGATGGAGTCACAGCCAAACAGCAACAGACCAGATGAAGCTACTATGAGAAAAAGCAGAGAGAGCAGAACGTTAGAGATTGAACTAACAGATTCTGCAGAGTGGGAGAATAGAGATAGAATGAAGCAGAACGTTAGAGATTGCAATATAGTGGTGAAGATTCTCAGTCATCCAGGTTATGGTCATTCCAAAAAAGTTCAAAAAACAATCCACTGGACTTTGTTTCCGGGTTTGAGGACGTTTCGCTTCCCATCCAGAAGTTGAACAAAGCCAAACGGCCCCCATTTCAAAAAGGTGGACCCGTTCGTTTCTATTTGCATGTTTTCTAAACTAAAACCAGGCTTTGTTGGGCTGCTGGATAAAACCTGGAACTAAACGCTATTTCTGACATTTTGAATTGAAAAAGCTTCCTGGATGGAAGAGAAACGTCTTCAAACTTGGATTGTGTTTTAAACTTTTTTGGTTAGAGATTGAACTGATAAATACAGAAGAATGGGAGGATAGAGATAGAATGATGAAAAGACAATTAGCAGATGGATGTCAGCTTAATATATTAGCTGGTTGTCAGAAGCTCAGTCGTCTCTAAGTAGTGCCTACTTAATCTGCAGCTTTATTCACTTTTTTCATTGCATCTACTATGACACACATAGTGATAAAGGGATTATTTTTCATTTATGCATCTTTATTCATTCAATTAGAAATGATCCTCTAGTTTTGCTGTTGTAACGTTTAAACTTATTTAATTACTAGCTGGCTTTATTTAACAGATCTTACACTAGAACACCCCTTCATTTAAAAACAGGGAAGAGCTCCTCCTATATGTGCCCCTGGGGGCTGCCTGGGCTCTGGGTGCCCCTGCTGGGACGGATCTGTGGCAGTGGGGCAGTACTGACCCTGGAGGGGTCGGCCATGCTAAACCCATGAGGGGTGGGGGTGTATGTGTGCGTTTAAGGGTCTGATTGGGGGTAGGGGTGTAGAATGGGGGGGGTCAGGGGTGGGGAGGTGATGGCGGGGAGTTTATGATAAGCGGTTAATGGGGGGGAAAACTTATAAGGGATATTTTAGGAAAGGTAATGTATAGAGGTTGGGTGATTGTGGAGTATTGAAGTATTGTTAATGTTATATGGGATGTGTGTGTGGTTATTAGGTAGTAAGTGGAGGGAGGTGGTTTAGGAGGTGGTGGAATGAGTTGAGTTTGATTTATTAGTTGGTAAAAGGGGTTTAGGTCTTGGTATATAGAAGTTTTTGGGAGAGGGGTTAAAGGGAGCACATCCATGATTCTACTATCTGACTTCGGCAGAGAGGACGGTAAGTTCGCCTGATGGACAGACAATAAAAAAGGCAGCATTGGTACCGTATTCTCACTCGGTTAATAGTGCTCCTTAAGACACGATGGGGGTCATAATTAGAGATGAACTTAGAGTTAAGTGATAAGATATATTAGTCTCCAAAAAATTTACTATCATAATGGCTTGGTGGGGTCTGGCTCTGGGCCTGCTGTCCCCTGATCAGCCCCTGCTGTTCCCAGCGTTGGGGTGGGCGCCGCCCTGACTTCACCCACTGTTGTGCTGACCTATGGGCCCACCATGGCCCCTGGGTTGTTGGCCCGCTGCTTCTGGCTGTCTGGGGCGACTGGCCCCTCTGGGCGCTGGGGACGTGGGCTCCTGCTCGGGGGGTTGATGCGGTCTGATGGGGGCAGGTGTGCTGTCGCCCATGGTTTCTGGGGGGCGTCTGACCTATGGTGGTGGGGGGGCTCCTCTGCAGGACTTCCCTGGTTGCCTTCTGGGTTGCTGTGCGGTTGTCTCTATGGTGGTCTCCCTGGGATTTGGGACCGGGTCTAGGGGCGTTTTCTGCCCACTTCAGGGATGGGGGGCTTTGGCTGGTGCCCCCTCTGCATCATAACTGAGCACAATCTGGAAAGCAGGGCAGTGGGTTCCCACACACAGGCAGTTCTTTGGACATACGGCTCCATATGCTTCAGTACGGCTGCTGCATCATTCTGAGAAGCTCTCTAACGTCACCGCTACCAGTGTTGTTGCTGTTTCTCTTGTTGCTTCTATGTTCTTTTGTTTTCCCAGTGCCCTTTTTCAGGAGCTCCTACTGGATTTTACTCCACCTGGATTACCCACAAGGAACCGTTTCTTTTTTTTTACACATTGTAGCTGGTTGTATGATTTTGTTGTCTTTTTTTCTCTCTCTGTTTCTGTCCAAAGGACCTCTTTCCTCTCCACTGCCTTTTTTCTTCTGTCTCTGTCAGTTTCGGCATTATCGTTCACGTGTAAATTTGGTAACAAAATGAATAAATGAAGTCGTTTTTGGGTAATGAAGGGGGGGACTTCTCACCAACAAATCCTCACTTTGCAAAGCAAATTTTTTCAGTATAGCACAGTACTTGGATTTCAGTTCTGCAGCCGTTAAGCTGAATAGGACAAAAAACAACAAATAAAAAAAACATGGAAGAGCTGATAAGAATGTGGGGAATGGGGCATTTCTGTAAGGTTTTGAAGCTAGAGAGAGATTTCATCTTTTAATAGTCAGTACTGTCTTTATAAAGTTATTCTGGAGCCCTGCAGAGAGAGAAGGTGTGGAGATGGTTTTTATTAGACCATTTGGCTTTTTTTATCCTTCCAAAAATACTTTGTTGTTGAAACATCCAAGCTGTTACTTTTTTTTACCAGGAGCTTTATTATAGTAATTAAAATGTTATATTTTGTCCCTCTGTTTATATTTTAACTGTATCATTTAGTAGAAATAAAACATACCGGTTGGTTTAGAACTCTAATTTGCACATTTTGTTCAGATGCAGGTTTTAGTATGTCAGCACTGTGCTATGATGAAATTCTGGCTGCTATAAACTAATAACCATGTAGAGTTATAGTGTTTCACAGGTTGAATTCAGTTGCATATTTCCAAGCTAAATATTTTTTAATACATCTTAGTATATTGAACCATAGACATTAATACACAGATGCCTCATTGGCCGCAGCCGGCACTGAGCAGGCGTGGGCGGCCATCTTGAATCAGACCACAGTTCAGACAGCTGCTGTCAGAATAGGAGACGCCTTGCAGTAGATGTCATTTTAATCACACAATAGACGATTTAAATATAATATTACAATCTCTTGCATGTCACAAGCCCATTAAAAAAACAACAAATTTTAAAATGACCTTTTAGTTGGAGCAGAAAAAAGTAGCTAGATTTGGCGCTAGGCACTTTTTTTTATATCAAAGTGCCAGAGGGGTCTGAAAAGTTGCTAAATAAAGCAACAAAAGTGCTAAGATTCAGTGCTTTAGTCTAAACAGTATTGCATTGATGTAGCCCAAAAACTTGGACACTCGAGTGTAGATGCCAAAATGCTCTGGGTGAGAACAGTCATCTGGACTCTTAAAACTCATGATTCCCACTTGGACAAATCCTCTAGCGGTCCGGCACATAAGGGGGCTTCCATGGTCTTCAGGCGGATGCTGGAAAAGGACACACTGTAATAGTGTTAGTATATTTGTGCTTCTGCTAAGAAACTCATTTGAAAGTCAAATTTTTTTCCTTCTCCATTGGAAATTAAAGACTGGTCTCATTGTAAGTAAATTTGTACAATCTTTGAATGTTTTCCACATACATGTATCTGCAGCATACTAGGCCAGGCACTCTATACTTTATGGCTGCTTATATAAATGCAGAAACTCACCTCACAGTCAGTCGTTTCATCAGCAGGAACTCCTGCACAAAGCATCCTATTATTCAGGGCGGGAAAACGAGCATCTTTTCTGGGAAACAATTCGAACCTTCATCTGTTTTTGAACCCGAGCTATATGAGCAGAAAGAGAAGAAATGCAGGAAGTAAAATAGGTGTTTTGTCATAGACAGATAGAAATTTATGACATTAATGTCATGGCAGTTTGTGTGTGGGCATGTATTTCATTTATCGTTTGGCCCAATTCCTTGACCCCATAATTATTCAATTCAATTCAGTTTATTTCTATAGCATCAATTCACATCATATCATCTCAGGTCACTTTCCAGTTCACCAGATCATCCAGTCAGATTGATTCAAAGTTTTTTATCTGAGGAAAACCAGCTGATTGCATCGACTCATTAAATCTTCAGCAATCCCTCACACTAAGCATGGTTGTAGCGACAGTGGAGAGGAAAAACTCCCCTTTAACAGGAAGAATTCTCCAGCAGAACCAGGCTCAGTGTGAGCGGCCATCTGCTGAGGCCCACTGGGGTTCAAGGAGACAGAAGCAGACATACAGAAATAAGTGTTTGACAGGGGTTTTTCAGAAAACCCCCGGTGACAGAACACCGACACTATGGATGATTGCATCGACTCATTGAATCTTCAGCAATCCCTCACACTAAGCATGCTTGTAGTGACAGTGGAGAGGAAAAACTCCCTTTTAACAGGAAGATATAATTAAGTTATGATTTCTGTTTCAGAGTTAGGTTGTAGGACTAATGTGTAAATGAAGTTTAGGTCTGGGTTAGGGTTAGGTATGAACCCGTAATGGTTAGTTGCAGGGTAAGGGTCACAGTTAGGCTGTAGAAATTAATGGAAGTTTGTGTTAGTGTATGTTCCAAGTAAGATTTTAAAAGCTTGTTCAAAA